ACATCTCTGAAATAATTCATGTAATCTACTAAACTGTGGGAGCTGAGTTTGCTCCCCGTTTCACGGACCATTTCAGCTGTTATGTCTTCATATGTGACCCTTCGTTGTTCGGCCCAATATGAGGACGAGCAAAAGACATCCTTTAAGCTCGAGTTCGATTTTTCAAAAAACGTGCTACTGTAGAAATCAAGTTTCCTGAGGCACTCCCTCCTTTTGCACCTGAAGTATTTGTTACCCTTAACCTTACCCTTCTTGGTCTCTGTGCGTAGAGTCATACCCCCCCCACCTCCCCACAGGAGCAAACGCATACCAGGAATAACAGTTGAGGCCATCCACCTCTCAAAGTCGTCGTCTGAAAGCGGGAGCTTTTTGTCAGGCGTCCTGCTATTCAAAAAGATAAGAGCATCCATATACAATGATCTTTTGTGACACTAATGTTATCTTCGGTAATCTCGGCTTATAAGGCAGAAGAAACCCTTACTTGACGGCAAGATGAGTATACGATATACTGTCTTAGATCTTAGTTTCCAGTCTCAGAATCACACAGAAAGTTTGACTGTGCAGAACTACACTGTACAGCTGCCGGATTCGAAACCAAAGCTGACATCACTAGAATCTTGGGTGTTCCCACTACACCAAGTCGCACTTGCTATCGAAGCGTTTTAACACACATATAAATAAGGAAAGAAGCTGCGCGGCCGCCCCTTCTTTCTGTCCCCATCCTCTCTTTTGTTCTCCCCTCTACCTTGCTGCTCTCCCCTTCCCATTTGCTGACGCCCCCTTCACTGTCCCCTTGTTTGACTTTTCTACTAAAACGCAATCAACCAATCAGCGCGCTGGAGCTGTCAAACTGCGATAGTGCCGCCGAAACAGATATTAACCAAATTAATTGAATTAAAAAATAAGAAACCAAATAAATCAGCAAAACTAATTGTTAAAAAAAACTGCCAAATGGACGTTGATGATATAAGAGAAGCATGATATCGCTGGAGCAATATCGAAATGAGTTTAATCAAAGAATGACACTCTTTGACGTATTTGAGAACTTTTTACACAGCAACTTGCTTCGCTTTCTGCACTGATCACTCGGCATAAAGATGAAGTTTAGACTTATGACCAAGTATCTCTCCTTTGAGAGCGTCCAGTTATGAAAAAATCACTTTCTGATGACCTTTAGTAGTTCGTCTACTGCCACAGCAGTAATAGAGTGACGCAATTATGATAGTAACTAATGTGTAACATTTAGGGGAAATGGTATAGAAAGTTTGAGTAAAAAAGCGATGACGTTTCTACACGTTGTTACTTTTTTATTTTTAGAAAATTAGGCGCTTGAAAGTGCTTGTCAAGAAAAATAATTGATCATACTGGTGCAGGTGGTGGCATTATTAAGAAGTCGTAAGTTTCTAGACTGCTGCATTAATTCAAGTCTTATTATAGACAAACTTTCAAAATTAATTTGTATGAAAATCAGAAACTGCCCTTGACAAAAAAGTTATGAGAAGGCCGTAGCTTAGCCGGAATGTTTGAAAGCGGCGAAAAAATAGAAAGTGTTTAATTCGGTGGACACAGAAAGGATCAATAGTCTCTTTATTTACATATGATTTTTTCGTTTTTCTAATACAGATTCCACCGAGTATTTTTTAAACACAACTGAAAATCTTTTGGCGAGGTACCCCGACTAGTTTATAATGAAAAATTACTATTTTCAGATGCAGGCAGGTTGGTTTTTTGCGTGAATAACTAATTTTTTTCACCTAACATTTGATTCAGATTAAGTATTTGTAAAAAGTTTGCTACTGTTGTGCTTACCGCAGTAATAGCTACGTGTCGCTTGCTGAATTTTTTAGTATTCTTTTATGCTGTACGAAAAGAAGCACTGGTCATGAATCGCGAGATACAGTAGCACATGGACCTTTCCAAGAGTGATGAGGTTTCTCAATTTTTTGCTTTAGTTCTTTAATTACAGCTTGGCTCAAACCAGTCTTCTTCTTCCGAAACTGTCCTAGCAGATTCTTCCAAGGTGGGGCGATAACATCATCATTAGACCAAACAATTTTGCAGCAAAGCTTAAACAGTTGGTAGTTAGATTTCAAACGGGTCAGTCATTGTGCTCCACCTTGCTCCTAAAAATTCCGGTACTCTTTCTGCTTGCACTTCAGTTATGACGTGATTAAGTTGCTCACCGTTGGACAAAAACTTTTGCAAATGCACTTTCGCGCTGGAAAAATTTATCGTGTTTGAGTTTGCAAGTTGATGGTGTTATCGTAGCACTGTTTACGCAGAGCTTCTTCAGGATGATATGAGTGATTTCTGGGCTGCATTATTTCAAACGGTGATGCATTGTCCTTATTTAAAAAAAGGGGAAAGAAATTGCCCCCAAATGGCACCACTGTAAATTGGAAAGTTCCGACATTCTTCTCCGCAGCTCTATTCTTTGAGCCTCTCATCTAGAAAAATCTCTTAACATCATACAGACGCATTTTGAGTAAGCCCCTCAGCCACTGTTACAATTGCAGAAAGTCTTGCGCTGAGGAAAATTTTTACTGGAAGAAATAACCACACTGACCCTCAGTACAGGCCCTCATTAAGAGACCTTCCTAGTCTCTAACCTAAGTGTCGAAGACGATTCCGAGTCTGGTAGTTTCTTCGCCCGAGACGAGGACCGGTTAGTGTGCTAAACTGCTTAAAAATGTTTAAGGAAAGCGTCTCCGTCATTGACTCCTGGTATTTCAGGCAAACTTCTGGTTGTCGTCTAGACCTTTTCAAGGTTCTCCTCAGCTTTCAAAGGGCACGTCCATAATCTTTACTACGATTTGTTTATAACTCTTCCACGACTAGCTTTGTCATGTCCTTCTTTTACGACTGTCTTAAAATGCCAGAAATGTTTTTTCATCACTCTCCAAATCAGGAGGATCATATATTCGAATCATTTTATGAGCCATCGTTTCTCCAAATCAGCACTTATTGGGGTTGGCCTTGCTTATACCACTAAAAAGCACGTCCCATTTGAGTTACCGCTACGATGTTTCTGGAAACTGTAGTTCACGCAAGTTCTTGGTCGTATTTACTGAGAATGGGACTAATCTTTGTGGGAAATAGGAAGTGCCCACTGGATATTTCATTGCACTTCCGAAACAACTAGACAGGAAGCCTACTCCAAACGGAATTATTTAAGTTCGTTCAGTAATTTCTAGGTCTTGTAACGCTAATAATATGGAGGTTTTTTTTCGTCAGCTTCAAGTGTGTCATCTTTTTGTTTTGAACAAGAACGGTAGCTGCTGTAAATGACAGGAGACTTTCTTGTTCTGTCTCAACTCGCACTGCCACTTCTGTTGGTTTGAATTTGATTTGTTTGGCTTTGAATCCATTAGCAATCGAAAAGCACCTTCCTAGATTTCAAGGTATCTGTTGCGAAATATTTGCTAGGCAGTAGAGAAATATTTCCTTAGTAGAGGAGTTTGTGCCTGCCTGCTTGTGGATGTAAGATTTTACCAAATTCAGCGAGTAATTAGTTTATTGAATTCTCGGAATAAAACCAAAAACCTTTAGATGACAGCGGCAATAATACAAGGAGGTAAAGAGTATTACAACAGGAATGAAACAATAATTTTTCTACTCTTTCATCAGAACTTAAAATCTCTTATACTGCTTTTTAACTCATTAACTATTAGTAGATTACTGGAAACAGTTATGGAAAGAAAAAAAAAGGTTAATCATGGTTAAAAGTACTAATAAACAGTTATACGATTCCGACAGTTATTGGAGTATTATCAAAAATAAAGGCAAATTGTTTAATTTACCTTTCCAATCTCTGCCAAGGGATGTTTACGCGATTCCGACAATAGAGAGCCATCAGTAGCTTTGAATTCTAGCGACTTGAATACAACTACAATTGCCTGTAATATAAATTTAGATGTTTATAGTACAATTTCATTAATTATATGAACATTCCGGAATAGTCGATTAACCTTCTTCTGCAATTATCTATACATTTTGTGAACCGTGATTTATCACAATCAATCTTAATAGTTTTTTATCCCAAACTTTTCAAGATTGCAACTTGAAGCTTGTTGGAATACCCTAGAGGTTTCGCAGTTTATCCATTTGTTCCTTCTCTTCGCTTCTTTTTGTAGCAGTGCCTTGCGTCATCTTTTCTGACACAATCGTCCGTCAAGCAGGAGTCGGACAGCACCTTCACCTCCACATCTCGTCTTGGTTTAATTGGATAGAAGAACGCGACTTTTCTGGCCATTAATACGCCTTATGGTCCTGCTGTTTGAGATGCTGTACCAGTCTTCTCTGACTCTTTTAATCTTACCAGTTTTCTGGAACCGCATAAAGCTCTACTATGCTCTTTCCGAAGCAATGGACACACTTCACCTTCCTTCTGCACCGGTTTATGCGGCGTTGCTTCTTGAAGGACTTTACACAGAGCTCTTTCTTCAATATAATGGCTTCCTTGCTCTTCAAAATCGAGCATTTAGTGCAAGCACCATTTCAATGGTCTTGATTACAAGATACTCATAAATGTTCCCTTCCGTTCCCGAGTTTCAGTGATCTTTTTTCCAAAGACCGTTAAGTGTTAAACACTGCGCTTTTTATCTCCTTGCTACTTAACTGATTTAAGTGGTTTGTCTTTTGTTTGGTGCTTTTATGTGGCGCAAAACACATTTGTGTAGTAGATGCAAAGTAAGAATTCCCCTGCAAGTTTGACCACTTCTGTCATGAACGGACAGTGTGATTTCGTAACGCTTTTATCAATCTAGAAAGTGTCCCTCAGCTGTTGCAAAAACGCAGAACTAGCAAGCAGTAATGCACTAAATTGGCTTTAGAGATTCAAAATGCTAAATGGAATGTAGCGAGCAAAATCATGCCAAAAGGTCCGTAAAGTTCACGAAATAATAAGGGCAAAGATGCCGTAAGTTGAACTCAATCCCAATCCAAATTAGAAGTTAACTGTGCAGTGTATGAGCGCACTCACTTCAACTCGGTCTAAAATTTTTTGTGAGCGAGAACGGCTTGTTCCAAAGAAATTCCAGCAACTTTAACACAATGCCACAGTGTACACGGAGACGCCTGGAAGTTACCCGGCAAGCCTCCGTAAAGGTGTGCTAAACTTTTGTATTACACTTGAAACGAAGTGTTGTTGATAACATGCTGTGTGTCCATGTCTTATGTCTTTGTTTTCCAAACTTCTTGTTGTTAGACTCTTCCTCTGATGAGGTTTCATCTAACATATGAAAGTATTTTCATTTTTTACGAATGACTTTTAACTTAGACACTGAAAAAACGGTGCTTATCGCTCGGATTTAGTCGTTAATTTCTTTTTGTTGAGCAATTCACGTAAACGGCTACTAAAATGTTTTAAAAAAAGAGGTTAGTCATGTTAATAAGAGGAGGAAAATGTTTTTAAAGTGAAAAACTGAAAAAATGTGCTCTTCCACGAAGTGGGGAAACAGTAAAAAAATGACGTACAAACAAACATTCAATAAAAAAATCAAAATAAGGAAAATCACTGTTTGTCTATTTTTCGTACTCTCGGAAGAAAAAATCCCTTTTTCTACTAAAATTTAGCAAAGATGTAAGAGCACCTTTTATACATAAAAAAGTACATTCCTAATGAGGTAAAAAAAATTCGCTCATGGTAGAAAGGATATGGTGTTGCCTTTTGATGCCGCTGAGAAAGATGTTGACTTAGGCCTAAATTAGGGCGTTTTTACCTGGCTTATTCTGGAAGTTCCGAGGCTATCTTGGCCCCATTCTGTCCCTCACATTTGTGGTTAAGCAGTGGTTGCTGAACTTACCGAACGTCGATGTTCTTGCCAAGTCATTTGCTGGAATGTTATTGGGAAGCTGATTTCTTCTTCCCTTCCTTTATTCTTCGTTTTGCAAAACGAACAAGGCAAAAATTAAGCGGGCAGTACTCTGCGACAGCTGTGACAAGCGCAGTAACAGCAAACACTTTACGAATACTTGATTTAAGTCAAATATTACGCGAAAAAAATTAGTTAGTCAGGCGAAGAGCCAGCCTATCTGCATCTACAAGTAGTAAGTTTGTGGAAATACGAAGAGGCACAGAAAAAGGATACAGGGAGGAGTCAAGAAATCAATTGGTTTCCTCTAACGAACAATCTCAGAAACTGTTGAGCACTGCTTGGCATGAACCAACACACAGCTTTTAGAGCTTTCTAACAAGCATAGACTGATTCCGGACCGAATTTCATAGATTAGCGAGAAGCAATCTGTAACTGCAGCAGGTTTTGGCAAGAATCACGAAAGAGTTGAAA